TTATTTAATTTGCTTGTTTGACCCTTTTGGAATATTTCATTTTCATCATGATTAATAAACCAAATATTTTCTGATTTCTTTTGTAGGTTGAATTAAAGAGGAAGTACAATGACCAGCACAAAAGTACAAGAGGCCTTTTATCAGGGAGTCATTGGTATGAAATTCAAGCTTATAGAGCTCTCAACCAAGCCCTGGGAAGGTGAGAGAAATGGAACATAATTAAAAATATGTATTTGTAGAATTTTGTCAAATCTTTAAGGATTAATTCCTCCCTGTTAACACAAAGGGGATAAATGAGGCCAAAAACCTCATCTTGCAGAAATTCAACCTTCATCAGCTCAGTGCTTGACAACTCTCTGCTTTTCAGCCTCTTGTGCATTTGAGTGTTATTATAATTCAGAGGTTTTGTTTTACGTTGAACCCTCTTCAGTTTGGTTGCAGGTTTTATTACTTGTCGTGCAGAGAGACAGAAAGGAAAACCTTAACAGAGACAAATAGTTCTGAGCTTATAAACCAAATGAAAATTCTCAGGGTTTTTCCAATGCACTAATTGTTCACACTCTCAGTGGGCTCAGAACAGTTGTTTGATATTCAGCCTACAAGTATTTTTGAAAGGGAGAAATAGCAGTGGGGATTTTCAGACCTTTGCAAAAGGTCAATTCAATTATTGTGCTCACTGATCTCTTTCCAGATTTAGAAGAAGTGGTACAGCTTCCTTTCCTGATGATGAAAAAAATTCCCCCAAATTTTATTAACAGGGGAGAATTAATTCATCCTTCTCCAACGAAATTTATCATATAAATAAAGATTATCACTGTCATCCCTATCTGTCATAGATGCCATGCATCTGTCAGGGGTATATAGAGGTAGAAACACAGATTTATAGATGAGAAACATCAGCTGGAAGACTCTTCTCATTTGAATCAGACCTAATTCAAATGTGATGACGTAAATTAAGGCTTAGAAGAAAACTGAGAGAAATAGGAACATTAGCAAAATATTGTAGATTCTTGTTGTTACAGGTCTGATTTCTTAGATTCCTCTTTGGAATGTAAGAGCATTGGTTAAAATTTGCCCAGAAAAATCTAAGGAGGAATTAAGCTGAAGTTGTGTCACTGTGAAATGAACTTTAACTGTAATCCAGATTTAGTGAAAATTGCTTATTGTGTAATTTTGCATTTGAATGAAATTCCACTGGTTTAAACTTAAGTGGAGAAAACAGACTTCCATTCTGACATGAATGTCTAAATTGTGTATAAAACCATTAGACTGAGATCTGCTGAAGGATGACAGTGTATGAGGAGTAATTTGATAAAACCAGAAAATTACACAAAGTTAATCTTAAGTTCTCTAGGAGACAGGAAAGCTTCTTCCTGCAGAGGTGCCACAGGGGTGGAAGTGAGCAGAACCAGTGGAAGAAATCTGTTTCTTAAAGGTTTTTTTGGTAGCTTTTCCTGTCACTGAGAGATTCCAGGGTAAATAATTCTTTCTTGGAGAGCCACCCTGTCACTCCAGTTTGAAGCCCTGATTCTGAGACTCTTGTGCTTTTATGTACATTTGTAAACATCACCCTCAAAAAAATGTACATGAACCTTCTTATACCCTGGGGACAATAACCCTGAACTGTTCCTGGCAGATTCTTTGCCATATTTCATTTATGTTATTGCTGTTCTTTAATCCTTTTTTATTGGCAGACGGCACAGAAATCCAAATAACATTAAAAATAATATCAACACAGGAAAAGTGACTATTTCTATTTCTGTAAGTCTCTGACAACTGAATTAAGAACTCAACAGTGTTTGATCTGCAGCATAATTCATTTCCTTACTAAAGAGAATTAAGAACAACCTGTGGTTTAGAGACCAAAAGTACGGAGTTATTTAAAAAACAACTTGCAATTTTATCAGTCTGGGGTTTTTTCCTTTTACAGTTTTACATTTTTTTTTTCCCCAGTATTTACACTGCCCAGTTAAGAATGGAAAACAAATGCCATGTTATTCTAATTACATCTACACCCTTCTTGTTGCCCCCTCTCAGGTGTATCAGGCACAGGAACGACTGGGGGGCTCTGATTTTGGTTGACGACCGGTTCCGGAATAACCCCAATAAATACATCACTGGTAAGCTGCAAAAATCCTCCTGGGAAAGTTCCCAGGGTTATCAAAGAGAGTGAAAACTCAGAAATACAGAAATCTGTTATACAAATACAGGTGAGGAGGAAAAGTCATCACAAAATATATCCACTGAACACAATCCGAGCCAGCAAATGCTCAATATTCAAGTCTTTTCTGTTTGTAATTTTATCCTGGGTAGGAAAAAAGGCAGGTAAAATAAAACAGGTCATGAACATTACCTCAACAAAGAAATAAAAATTAGAGAAGAATCTGCTCAGGACTGTGGTGTTTCTCTCTGTTCCTGCCCGTTTGGCTGAGGTGACCAGCCCGTGCTGGGTGTTGTCAGCAGGTGGAGCTCAGCTGCTGCAGTTGAGTCCAACTGCTCTGAAGGGTCTGTTTGTACTAAAAATACGTTTAAATTATTCAAGTAAACAGAAGTAATTCATATAGTAACACAAATAATCAAAGCTTCATAAGATCCCTTTCTCTAAAATGTAAAACTTCACACAAGAATCGAGTTCTCAGTTGTTATTTTTCCTTTTTCAATTGATATTCAAAGAATGTTTGAATGAGTTCAAAACCACTTTCTGAACTCAAGGAAGTCAGTTTTTACTTCACCCTTGTGTGTTCCTACGTCATCTAAACAGCTTTTATGCTCTGGAGATCTGGTATTTGTGCATTTTAAATATTATTCTGATAGTAGCACGTTGTGTTATATTGTAGCTCTAGAAATGTGTTGTATTCTATTGTAGCTGTTGGACAGTGATTCTGAATATCTGAGTTACTGGTACTTAATCTGAAACAAAGCTGTGAAAAGCTTCATTGTATTCCAATTTTTATCATACCCTGCTAATATGGTAATAAATACCTGTACTTCTGTGTAAGTTGCTTTTAAATATTTAAAATGAACACTCAGGCATAAAAGAAATGTAGTGATGTTTATGCAATGCAGTTTGAACCTGAAAAATGACTGGTGAAAAAGGTAAAGGAAAAGAAGGGTATTGTTCTTATTACTCATGAAAATAGTACCATGGATTAAATAAATTATGATGATTATTAAATGAATTCTTGTACTTTCACGAGCAGCTTCTTGTCATCTCTGTGAATCTGACTATAGATAGAAATATTTGCAGTATTAGGATACTATTTACTGATGGGAAATCCTTGGTGTGGATGATGTCATTTTGCAGTGACACCTCTTTTTTCCCTCAGGATTGTCCAAATGGATCCGGCAGCAGATCCAGCACCACGGGAGCTTCGGCAGTGCCCTGGAATCCCTGCAGGCCTTTGCTGCCAGGAACCAGAACAACAGGGAGATTCTCCACATCCCTCCGGATTCCAAGGACCTGTCCCAAGGCTCTCAACCAGAGGCAGCTGCTCACCTGCCACCAGATGTTCCTGCCAAAATTTGGGAGCAAAATTTAGGGTCTGAAGGGAATTTTCCCGTGACCGTCGGCTCGAAGCGGCCAAGAAGCGTCATGGCAGCAGGGAAACAAAGTAGGAAAACCTTCCTCAGCAATTTTGAATGTGAAGTTGCATCTCTTTGGGAAGAAACAAATGGTTTTTAAAATTACAGAACGGTGGAAAATGTTTTTTAAAATTGCTATGGTGGAAAATGATAGTTATTCACAACTGTCTATGAGCTGTGCTCAGGACTAAAATTGTTATTCCACCTTAAAACAATTGATGATGTTTGATAAGTTTATAGCACAATCAAAAATGTTTTCACTTGAATTTCTTTTTCCGTTTAAAACTATGAAAATAATTTAAAATTTGAAAGGCCAAGATTAACAGAATTGCAAGACGAGTGCCCTGGTTCAACCTACATCTGTTGTTTAGACACTGCTGTGAGACACCTTTCGTGGGATCTCCTTCAGTACCACCTTTACATCTAAATATTTACCCATTCCTAAATTTTAGGGAAGCTTATGACTTCATTTCAGGCAAGAAAGATGTGAATAAGATAAGAGTACAATAACAAAAGTTACAAATTTCCAATCCCATCATGCTCTATCTTTACATACACCAGTTAATCTGTTGATTTAATTCAGACAATTCAAGTGTAAAGAGAGTTGGAATATCTGGGCTTTTCTTTGTATTGTTCTTAATGAGCGCTGTAAAATGACTGCAAACCTGATCAAAAGTGGTAATTTCGATGTGCTAAACGTGCTGTAAATGAGGGGGGAAACCCAAATACAATGAATTTATGTTTTGTGATTTTTCACAGGTGGCCAGAAAGTTGGGGTAGAGAGTCATTCTCACCACGTGAGACAAAGAAGAAAACGTGTTGATTCCGCACCCAAAGTGCCAACAACTAAAACAGAGACATTAAACACGAATGGTTGGACTAATGGTGATATTGTGAAGGAGAATTGCTGCTTTAAACCACTGACTTCAACACCTCTGCCTGTGGCCAAGAGCTGCAGGGCCACAGCTGATGGCAGACAAGAGGATGTGAATGGGCCCAGTGAACTCAGTGATAGTTTAAATCAATGCCAATCATCGTTAACTGCAGAACATAAACCAAGTGGACCAGAATCATGTTTGGAAACAACTCATTTTTCAATTAAAAATGCTGAGGCTCCAGTTGCTGAAGAGCTCCAGCTTCCAGCTGAGCCCTGCAGAGAGTGTCCCACAGCAGGAGGGAGGGCTGAACCTTCCACCCTGAACGCGTGTGCAGAGGATGAGGATGAGGATGAGAGTATTTACTTCAGCCCAGAGCTCTATGATGATGATGCAGAACCAGAGGAACAGGAAATCCAAGCCCCTCTCCCAACCCCTCGGGCAGACGGGAATCAGGTGGAAGGTGGAAACCCCCCAGTGGCTGAGGAACCTTTTGACACCTCAGAAACGCTGAATGTGACTGAGAAGGTCGAGGCTGGTGGCAGGAGCCCGAGTTGCAGAGTGCTGCAGAGTGAGAGGAGTGAGGATAGTGCAGGTCAGGATGTGGAGGTGGCCGGGGCAGCAGGAGCAGAACAGGGAGCAGCTCCAGGGATGGACGGCAGCAAACGGAGAGTCAGCCTGTCCAGAACACGAAATAAAGGTGTGTCCTCTTTTCTCTCGAGCAGCAGCAGCCCCTGGGCACAGTGTCTGTGGGAATCCCACTGAGCAGCTGTTCAAATGTTGCCTCACCCCAGAGCAGTGGTGGCTTTTCTCCTGCTCATCCCACCTGAGCTGCTCCCAGACTTGATTCCTTATTACATTCCTTATTACATTCCTTTTTTTGATTGTCACTGTGAAACTTATGGAACAGGTTCACAGTGCAGTTTTCTAGAGGTGCAATTAAGGTTCCTCATCCTGATTGCAGGGTAAAGGACAACATGTTTGGAAATTCTAAATACAAGCCCAAGTGGGATCTTACTTGTAATTATTGGCTGAGGAGGTTTGTCCACTACAGATTTAATTCACCATTAAATACCATAAAATAATAGCGTTTTTCCTCAGAAAGCCAAACACCCATATCATCAAATTACAGTTTTCTACATTTGTAAGGGCTTTTTTTTTTTAAATTAAATTTATAGAACAGCATCTTTGCAGATCAGGTCATATGATAGATTGAGCCTGGATACCAAAATAGGTGTTTTCTTCAGTACTTTGTCTCCCTCAGATTCCTTATGTCAAAATGCCTGAACATTTTGATACTTGATGATGATGAGAGGCTTCTTCAGAGATCTGTATTTGTTTGACATGAAAATTGCTGTTTGTTTAAATTTTTCTTCTGTGAGATCTCATTTCTTTTGATCAGGCTCTGTGTGTGTTCACATGAAAACACGTTCTCATTTGTATGCCCTACAAACACATTTTATATGAAATATACAACAATGTAAATTTGTACATAAAGGCCTTTAAGTCTTCCTCAGTCTGTTTTTTTTGAAGTATTTTAAACTTTTCTTTCATTTATTGCAATCAAAGCAGCCAGGATTTTCCTGTAATAAAACATATCGTGCCTGACTTTTCAAGGAAAGATTGTTCATTTCCATCACACATGAACATGAAGATGCAGGATTTTTGCAGTCTTAAGATTGGTTCTTTTTTTTTTTTGTCTGAGAGCAGAAATTGAATTATTAACTGGTTGTTTCCCATAGAAGTTCATCTAAATAACATCCATCTCTCCAGAGCTGTGATCTTCTCATATCAACAGGATTTAAATTGTATCCTTTGTTTACACAGTAAATGCATCTTTTTTAAATTAAATACTTGTTTGCAGGAATGGCAAGAACCCCCTTGGATTTCTTTAACAACGTGATCTTGCAGTGTAAGGCCTCTGGTTACATTTTTGCTGTGTTGATGCCTCCTAAGGATCATGTTTTCCTGGCTTAGCTTTCCTGGGTTTCACTGGATCATTGGATGCTGATGGGTTTTTGAAGTATTGAGAGGGCAGAAGCTCCAGCATTGGCAGCAATTCAAACATCTGACACATCTCCAGCTAAATACACTTAATTTCGAGTTCAGTGCTGATTAAGTGGCTGGGCTGGAACTGTCCCACATCCCCCACCAACTGCTGGGGCAGGTGGTTGCAGCCACACTCCAAGAGTTCATGGACTTGATCCTCAGGAGTCTTTAAAGCTCAGTTTTCTTAAACCAAATCTTCTGTCCCAAAGCACTTTTCACATTCGTGTGTGTCCAACTAGAAAACAGAAATCACTTAAGCTCTGGGCCTGTCTGCTCAGCCCAGGGCCCTTTGCCTCTTCTTTGTCTTCCAGAAGATTTGTCTGCCTTTAAATCCTTAACATTAAAAAAAAAAAAAAGAAAATCCATCTCCCTTTCCTTATCTGGAGCAGATTGTTCCTTTCTTGATCTCGTGTTGCATCTTACTTTGATTAGAAATCCTTTAAGACAAGACCTGTTGTGTGTCAAATACTTCACAATAATTTACAGCTACATTTTATAGCACATTTCTCCTTAACCGTTATTTTTTAAAACATGAAATATCAGCATTTGTCCTATCAGATACTATATTTTCTTGACAAATTTCTATCCACAAAAAACTCAAATCCTGGGATAACTGATGGAAAATAATCCATTATATTACTGCTGGGTTTGGGGGGTAATGGCTGGACTCTTTCTTTTATCATAAAAACTGTAAATTCACTCTTAATTTGTCTTTATATCTAATAACTAATGTGTTGGTGGCAAGAATGTCCTTTATAGTTAATATATTTATGGTGATTCCCAGAATTAAAGGCTGCCCAGCCTGCAAAGAGAAGGGAAATCAATGTACCAACTTTCCTGGAATTATTTATTTGAACTGCTCAAATCTATAAAAAATGATTGAAAATTCCTCTCATGCTCTGATATCATAGAGAGGTAAAATCTCTGCTGCCTAAAATAATAATAAAATCTTGGATTTATTTAAGGATTGAAAATTCAGAGGAAATGCAGGAGAAGAAAAGCTCCAGTTAGGAAAAGTGGCTCCAACTGGGACAGAAAGGTACCCCAGAGATGGGATAAAGGACCTGCTCCAAGGGGCTGCTGTTCAATGGGAAGGTGCAGGGGAGATAAGAATGATTTATTATATAATATCTGAAGGGAAATAATACAGGTGAAGCAGTTCCTTCATGAGCTGCTTGGTTTGCTGCAGGTCTCTATTTACACACTCAATAGATACCTTTGTTTCTGCTGGGAAGCACAAGGGCACCTCTCATCCTATGCAAAATTCCCAACAAATTGATAGCCTGGAGTGTTACAGACTTATAAAACACCTCATATTTTAGATGACAGTGTTTCTATTTAGTGAGGTGAAGCATTTTGAGCAGGGTGTTTATTTTAATTATTATCTAGTTTAAATGACTGATTCAAAGAGATTCCTCTGAGTAATTCAAGTAGTGTGTTTCTGTGAAGCAGTTTTGACATATTTAATTGTATTTATATTGAAATGCTTCCATCTTGTATTTACATGCATTTGTGTCTTGCCTTGTTAGAAGGGAACACACAACCAGCCCTGCAAGAAAGGACTTTATTGCATTGTCTGTGGAGCTGAAATCCTGCCAAAAGCAGAGGGTAAGATCCAGGGAACAGTCAAGTGTTTCAGGTTGGGACTGATGGAATTCCTGATCCACCTTTTTAATTCCACAGTTTTGGACCCTGGAGGGATATTTTAGAATAACTGGATTTGGTAACTGGATAAATACACATTAGAAATGCACTGAAGACCTGCAGAAAGTCTTTTTTTGGGGGGGGAGGGGGAGAAAGAGGGAGTGGTCACAAGAACAACTATTTAAAGAAGTTACTTTTTCTGGCCCGTTTCTGTTGCCTGGTGCTGCCACACCGACCTGTCTGGAATGACAGTGAGCATCTCTTTATTTAAGATTTAACTGAAGGCAGCTCCTCCTGACATTATGGGAGGCTGAAAGAGATGATTTGTAACAGAGTGACCCATTCATTGGGGCTGTTCCTTCTCAGGATTAGGTGTTAATTTGCTACCAGTTGCTGTGAGAAGCTTGGTAATATCTTGGCACAGTAACTCTGGGAATCTCCTACTTATTTTCATGAAACTATCCAAAGTCTTACTGCAAAGCCACTGATTACAGTGGGTAACCTGCCTTGTGTTAATTTTGGTCTTCAGTCCTTGGTTGATATGAAATGGGGATTCCTTTGGAAATGGTGTTTTTCTGAGGCACTTTAATTTGGGAAGGTCTAAAGGCTGGTAATGGGAATAACAACTCTGCTGCTTTTTAAAACGAGCTTCAGGTTCCTGGGCCACGTGTGGTAATGACCTCATTACAACATGTTCTCCTGGGTTACATGCAGGAACAATTAGATGGAGATGCTTAATACACTTAAACAAGGCATAAAAGAGAATTTAGTGAGGATTGAACTGGGCTTGGGTTTTACAAATGTGAGGGTAAGAAGAATATTTCTTTTTGTGTGCCTTGTCTGTACATCTCAGGCCCTGGACAGAAAGCCAGAGGGCTACATTTTTAGGAGGTTGTGGATTGATGCCCTCGAAAACTTGTGTGATCTCATCAGTGGACTCTCATTCATTTCCTTAATCTGAATTTATCAGCTTTGTCTTTGCAGTTTGGGGTGGAATCTGTGAAGCAGAATCACTGCTCTGAATCCCCGAGGTCCATGAATGCCCACAGTTACCAGGGTGTCCCTTGGCAGGGAGAAGTTTTATGTTGTTTAAACTGAACCTCAGATGAATCTGAATCCTCAGTTGATTGAGGAAAGCTAAAAAAAAAAATCTGAAAATGAAAAAATAATGGCTTTATTCAAAGTCGATTCAAACTCACCGGTCGATTTGGGAGTAATAACAAGGGGAAAATTATCTGTTGCAAAGTAAATTTTGGACACATTAAAAAAATTTTAAAGAAGGCCTCCTTCCAAGGTCCATTTACAGCAATAGAAGTCTTTTCAGTGCCTGCAGTGGGTATTGGACCAGGGCCTAAATTCCCATCTTGTAAATGTGGAAAGTTTGCAGCGGGGTGGAACAGTGCTGTATTCAAAGCCATGTGTGCACAGAACTCTTACACCCCACTTTTTAAATTACAGGGATTTTGAGAAAAGCTTGCTACAGTAACAGTGAAGTGCAAACAATCTGGAAACTCTTCAGCAATAGCAATGTAAGAAGTAAAGGATCCATTAGGAGTTGTGTGTGTCAGGTAGATGCCACTGCAGAAGATGAGAATGGGATGTTGGTCATCTCAGATGCTGCAAGTCTGAGTTGGCTGAAGGAAACTTTGAAGGTTTATCAGATGCCAGTGAAAAGTGAAGGTAAATCTTACTGACTCCTGATAAATACCAGCTAACATTTGTCAAGTCCTTCAGTACTTTGAAGAGATATTTAGTTTAACAATAATTTTTTTGGTGGCTGAGTCTCCATTGTTCTTTAACTTCCACACCTTTCCTTTGCTCCTATTAAATTTCTGTGAGTTTGAAGGAAATCCAATCTCCAACAATTCTTTAGTGGATGTGAATAAAATGCTCTTTCTCCTTCAAGGATATCCTTCCTTTTCACAGCTTTTTAAAAGGAACATTTTGCTTCTAAAACAAGTGATGTTTTTTTTTTTTTGTCTTCAATGAAAACACCAAATCTCTCAAGATTCTGGTGTTTTTGGGTCCTTTTGCCAAGGATTGTGAACGTTTCTGAAACCCCAGGAAATACTTAAAATAAGCATAGAAGTGATCCTGCCATGCTGATAGATGTTAATGACAACTGTAACCCAGGTCTTTGATCTGAGGTAAATGAGGATGATTGTTTTAAGCTTAGGAGAAGAAGTTTGGCTATTTTATGGGGTAAGGAAGCTGAGTCTTACTCTCCAAGGCACAATATTTGGCTAGAAAGCCAATAAACATGACAGAGAAACATGTGAGTCAGTGGGTTTTGTCAGGAGGCTGGAAATACAGAAGTTGGAACTTCTGACAGTGGTCCTTGGCCAAGAAAGTAAATTATATATCATTGTTTTCTCTGAACTGGACCATTCACAACGCTGACACCCCTCCCCTTTGACCTTTTGGGAAGCTGATGGTGAGATTTTTTTCCCTTGAGAGGCTCAAAGCTCTGTGGACTCTGCACATTTAACCAAACACTGAAGATCAGCAGCAGTTTTCCCTGCCCTCCCAAATTTCTGGGGTCCTTCTACAGTGTGTTCTGGTGAAACAGAGAAGGATAATGAGAGCAGAATCCTTCACACTTCTCATAACCAGTTAAAATGCCTGAATTGGGGTGTTCACCCCGTGGTTGGAGCAGAATTCTGCAGAGGGGATGGGTTTGGTAGGAAATGGGATGTGGAACCCTTTGGTTCTCCAGGTGACAACAGGGAAGAACTTGCTTTAGTTCACATGTGGCCACTTCTGTTGCCATCCAGTGTTGCTTGGATGTTATTTTGCCACAAGGGCTCCTTTCCAGGAGTTCCTAAATCCCCAGGGATTCCTGAGCATTCTTTGCCATCTCATTCTCTGGCAAAACAAGAACTTGACGTTAGAAATGTGAAGTGTGACTTTGATCTGTTTGAAAATCTCTCCTGATGCCCTCTGTAAAGCACTTTTTCTTTCTCTTTGAAAGACTTGCATGGCAGTTTATCTTTAAATGCTCTTTGGGATGAGAAGGAATGTTCTCTGACAAGTTACTTACAATGCAGGAGCTGTGTCACTCGGGCCAGTTCTCCATGTCCTTTGATAGGAGCTGAGGTTACTCATTTCAGTAATAAAGTGCAGTCATGGGTAAGTCAAATCATTTTGTATATTAAAATGATGACTGGAAGATTTGTGTGGTAAATATTAAAATACCATTTTTGTAAAAGGTAGAATGAACACTTTTATCTGGACAAATTTTATGTGATTCACCTCGTTTCTACCACAGAGTGAAGAGCTGAGTTCAGGTCACTTAATGTATTTGTAATAGTCTCTACCTAATTTGGTTCAGTGTCTTATGAGAAGAGGCAGGAAAATAGCAGCCATCCATGAAAAGGAAAACCAGAACAAATCATACTTGCACAACCCTGTAGACTTGAATTTTCAGACATGTAGTTTTATGTTATTTTTGGGACTAAAAAAAAGAAGTCAATCAGCTCCTGATGGATGAACGTGGACAAGGTCTAAAGAGTCAGCAGGAAGAGATTTATTTATGCATATTGTATTTCCAGCAGTGTTAGCAAACTAAATTCTCAGTAGAACACTTGGAAATGTAGATGAGAAAACTCTGTATTTTTATGGTACTCTCAGAGCACTGGGGGTGAGGCTCCATCCTGAGGGAGCTGTGCAGGTGAGTCCAGGACACCTTTGCATCTCCCTTCGTTTATACTCTGCATATAAATAGAATTGAACTATTGGAGACTAAATCTTTGCCAAAAACTGACTGTGATCTTTATGTTTAGGTCTGTGTGTGTCTTTATAAACTGTCCAAGCTCTTTGAAGTGCAGTGTGTGACAGTGTGATGATGGCACAAAGGTTAAGAGGCATTATTTGCCATTATTTGCCACGAATTTGGGCATTTCAAACATTACCACTAAAATTTCATGGCGTTTTTAGCGTTCATTTTATATCAGAGATACTGAAATGTTGCACTGAGGGAATTTATACTGGCAGAACATGAAATAAAGGGATCCCCTGAGGTATAATGAAAGCTGGGGGTTGAGGAAAGACTAATTTTTGTTTGTTTTCTTTTCTGTTTTGTGTGTGAAAAATACTGTTATTTATTTCTAAAGGCAGGCTGAAGATGAATGATAGTAACTTTAATTTTATCATCTCTTTGCTTTAAATCCGGTATAACTGGGAATATATTCATGTAACTGGGAATATATTCATGTAACTGG